CCTACCTCGCCGCCCCTACTGTTATACACCGAGAGGCTGTCACCAAAGAAACCCCCAGACTCTTATCTTACTTTAGAGACGGGATAAGGTACAGCATATCTTTCCTCATCGATATACTTAAATAGAGAATATTTGGTTGAAGAGATGAATATGACACACTTTTCCCTTAAAAATTACTTACACTTGCTAATATGTAAATCTATTTTATTATTTAAAATAGAATCCTCCGAAGCGGCTCGGCTAACCTGAACGGCAGTGCCCATCTGTATCGAGTGCGCGGTCGCCGACCAGTTCTGGTGCAATTAGAGCCGGTCTCGTGGTCACAGCTGGCTACCGATGGTGTCTTCGTCCTCGACACCTCGTCGCTACTAGTGCTGTGGCTCGGTCGGACCGCCAACCTCGTCGAAAAGATATTTGGAGCCAAGGTTCGTAGCGTTACAGTTGACGGAGTCGTTATGTGGAATTGAAATTCCAGGCTTAAGTATTTAATGTTAATTTCCTGTAAAATAATTAGCGTATTTTTTCACGAATCTAAAACAACTACATACTTGTAAAAACCTTTCTAAAGCAATTTAAATCATGAATAGATTGCATACCGGATGGCTCGTGGAGCGGACAAGGGCATGATGGCGCGACGGATCGCTATTGCTCATGATGGGTACGAGCAAACGTTGCCTGCGTCCGACCGCGCCCTGCTGGACGCACTGCTGGAGCTGCGCGCGCGAGCACTGCGCCCCGCGGCCCCGCCCGCCGACCCGCCGCGACCCGCGCGCCTCTACCGCGCCACACAGCCACCCCGCGTTGCACCTATCACCGTGCCTTCTCAACGACCTGCTGCAAGGCTAGAAGAAATCAAACGCGCACCCCTGTTCAGAGAGGACCTGGCTGATGATGTAAGTGATTTAAAATTAACGGCAATGACAGTCAGACGTTTCCCATACTTTAATCCTGTAATATTTCAATAAATTGCGCTACTTAGCCACTGTTACATAAACCGAAATAGATACCATTAGTTATTGTAGTTTTGAAATGGTCATGGTTGGTGATGGTTTAGAATATCAATAAAAATAGGTTATATTTCAATTTATTTCAGGGAGTGTATATAGTGGACAGTGGCAGTCGTGGTGTATGGGCGTGGGTGGGCCCTGCCGCGACGGGTGCAGCGGCTCGTGGTGCTTTGGCAGCGGCGCGGGGACTGGCTCGAGCGCGGCGCATGACGGTGCCGGTGTCGGCCGCCCCCGCCGGCCGGGAGCCCCTGGAGTTCGCAGCATTGTTCCACAACTGGCGCTGGTGTGATGCAAGGCGCGACGGAAGACTCCGTGCAGCTCGATCTGCTACCACCAGACTCGATGCCGTCAGTCTCGCTACAAATGCCTGGCTCGCTGCTGAGGTAAATAATTTGACAACTTTAAAATCTTTCATAAAGCTTCTATCCGTTTAATTGAATGGCGGCATCAAAACGTGTGTGGAGTAAGCCACGAGAATACAATGCAACAATATGGATACGGCTACAATGCAGGCTCAGCTGCCGGACGACGGGTCGGGCGCGCTGCGCGTGTGGCGCGTGCGGCGGCGGTCGGGCGACGCGGAGGACGCGAGCAAGGAGGCGCTGGCCGAGCTGGAGCGCGCGCAGGCCGCCGTGTTCTACGACAGGGACTGCTACATCGTGCTCTACACCTACCACGCGCCCACCGGCGACCAGACCGTGCTCTACTACTGGATGGTGAATTTTTATCATACTTCTTAACTTACAATTACTTTACGTAATCTTTGCAGTTATAATCCTAACATCTTAACATTACAGGGTGGCTCTTCGCCCAATGATCTGAGGAATTTGGGCGCGAAAGAAGCCAAAGACCTCTACACCAAACTAGGGCGGTCTCCAGTACAGGTACTACAGCTTTTTTCATCTTATAAAATTAACTATCGTAAAACTGATTCCTTTTAGATGATATCACCCAAGCGGACAAGTACTTCTTGAAGTCCTCATGTCACCATATAAACCGTAAAATTAATAAAGTATTAGTTTTTAATATCTTAAGGTATTGAAAAGCCGGAACAATTTATTTTTACTGAGGAAACATTCAAATTTCCAGGCATGGGTGTATCAAGGAAAGGAACCCGCACACTTCCTTCAGATCTTCAAAGGTCGAATGATCACATATGTCGGAAGTGCTACGGATTATGATCGTAAGTATTTACTGAATTTACTTAATTTCTTCATTCACACTGTCTTTGATCTATTCCTGATCATCAATTTATTCTCAGCCACAGGACGTCGCGTGTTGGCTCCGTCTCGAGTGCTCATCCGCGTGTCGGGACAGTACGCACGCGAGGCGCGGGGCGTGGAGGTGCGCGACGGGGGCGCGGGGGGCGGGGGCGCAGGCAGCGGCGGCGCAGGCAGCGGGGGCGTAGGCAACGGGGGCGCAGGCAGCGGGGGCGCGTGCTACGTGCTGCGTGACGCGGCGCGCGCGTGGGTGTGGTGCGCCGCCAGCGCCACGGGGGACGAGCGAGAGGTCGCCAAGAACATGGCCGCCACTGAACACACGCTGGTCATGCAAGGTCAGAATCCTTCAAAATCATAACCTCATCTGTCTTTCCTGGGTAAGTCAGAATAAAGATTCCTTCAATCTTAAACTTAGGCTAATCTTGAAAACATACCATCCCCAGGCAAAGAGAAGGCCGACTTCTGGACAGCACTGGGCAATCGTCGTCATCTACTGGTGCCGTCTCCATTGAAGGAAGTACAACGTCCCTTGCCACCGCGTCTATTCTACGTATCTCTGGGAGTACCAGCCCAATATTCATGTAAGTACAAAGTACTCATAGTGGGCACTGCGGCACCGGCACTATACTCACTTTTAGGTGCATGTGCTTGTGCAGTATGCGCCTACACAACAATTAAAAAACATAGTGAGCCGGGAGCCCCTTATGTTAATGATATGGTATGAAAAGAAGAGAGAAGTAACGGTTCCAGATCAGCCCCAAGGACTAAAATGATTTTATAGTAGTCTGACGTCAATAAAAGACGACAATATTCGTTGGGGATCTTCCCCATCAAAGTGTATTTATTCAGCCATCACAGCCGAGTAAGTAGTCGAAGCAGTAGGTACCGAGTGACAAATTTTTATTGTTACGCATTTATTACAATAACTTCATAATAATATGTTGCTTACCTCTGCAGTCGAGGAGATAGTGTCGTTCAGTCAGTACGACCTGGCGCCCGAGATGGTGGGCGTGGTGGACGCTCACGACGCAGTGTTCGTGTGGCTCGGTCAGCATTGTTGCCCGCGCGCTAAGGAAGATCCTCGGTCGATTGCACTCGCCTATCTCGCACAAGGTGAGCTAACTTTTCAAACTGGGTTACTAATATCAAGATAAACATTTTTTCATAGTAGTTTGATGAATTTCATAGCCTTAAATAAAAAAATAAAAAATGTAATTACGTAATACTATGTACGTGAATAGATCCAGCGGCACGAGACGCATGCACACCAATACTGGCGCTGAGTCAGGGACGTGAGCCACCACATTTCACCGGTTTCTTCCCACTTTGGAAGCAGTCCATGTGGAAGGTAAAACTTTACAGAAGAATGTCCTTCAGAACACCATTCATCATTTATGGCAGATGTCTTTTTAAAATTAAAATTTTCTTTATTTTTGCTTAAAGGGTCATAAAACGTTCAGTGCGATCATCAGTGCTTTAGAAGGCAAAGCTATTATCCAAAGTGGCAACAGCGCAATACAAAGCGGCAACAGTGCTAACCGCTTCGATCAGTACGAGAAATATCCGCTGGCAGTCCTGAAGGGGCCTAAGGATCACTTGCCACCAGACGTTGATCCTCTCACCAAAGAGGTAACAACACCACTTCTCTTGTAAATTTTTATCTCTGTATTGCATTGTTACTCAAACAATAACCTTTGAATTTTAATTACCACAACTAATAGACGTATACCGCAATCACATGCACGCATATTATAGTTGATTGCTCAACGAATCTTTAGATGTTGAGTCTCACAAAATATTTTCTTACCTTTCTAGCTCTACTTGACTCACGACGACTTCGTATCTACGTTCAGCATGCCCTACAATGAGTTCCGGTCACTACCAGGTTGGAAGCAAAAGGACCTCAAGAAGTCGGTTGGATTATTTTGAAGCATAAAAAAATACTTAAAATAATTATGATGTCAGTCTGAGCGTGTTTTGTTTTTGTCAAAAGTTTATTAAAAATCGTCTGTCATATTGTTATCGATTGAATGAGTTAATGAATGTTGTAAATTAATAAAATAAAATTACCAAAAAATATTGATTTTGATAATTTATGTAATGTTAATAATAAAAGAATGTTTAAATATTAGGTCACGACCTGTCAACCCACAAGATTTTACCACTGGTATGTGGACGTATAATTCACCAACCACCACACACTGTGAACCCTACTGTAATATTAATGAAGATATTTTCGATACTTATAGTCCCACACGTTGAAAACTGGCGGACATAATTTCACCTAGAAACGATTGAAGCACCAAATTGTTAGTAGGTTATTTACGTATGTGTGCATAATGGGTTACCACGTTATCAGACTTAAAAAATGATAGATGTCGTGTCTGTGTGTATGGTCTGCGTGTTTAGTAACGGTGCCAGTCTTTGTTTCAAGAGACTGTGTCCGCCATTTTTTTCGACGTCCTGGGTTCCACAAATAAAGTTAATACATCATATTTGTTGCAACTGGTTAGTGGAACAACAAAGTATTAATAAAGTATTTGTTTTACTTTCATTCTTTGGTGGTCGAGACGTGCTTTGAAATATCATATCACTTACAATATTACGTAAAATAGTAATTATTATTGCACTCGTGTTTAAATTAATGTAATTATTATAGATGTTATGTATTTTGTTAATTTATATTACATCTTTTGTCACACAAATAAGGAATTTAAATAACTGTTGAGCTAAAGTTTAGGAGAGTAAAATAAAACAATGAGTTTTAAAATGTTATTTTTATTTTAAAAATAGTACTTATTAGCTATTGGGCATTAATTACCTTAAAAATAATAATCTTTACAATTTACAAGTTTTTCAAAATCCATAAAATATCGGTTGAATTGAAAGCGTATTTACACTATAATAATGACAGGTATCATAATATAACCCTACGTGATATGGGGTGAGCCGTAGCTAAGGCACGTTGTATTAGTATCGCGTGTCTCTACCGAGCCGTGCGCGTCACTCGACACGCTCCACGCTCCACTACATTACAGCAATGAATCAAACCATATTCCAAATATTATATTCAATATCATAATAATATTTTATAAAACATACGATGAATTATACGAAATGTCCTCTATCAGCAAAAAGCCACTTGAAAAAAAAACTTTACAAAATATGAAAAGCTAGTTAGGAACTTACAATTTTAGTAGATAAATAAAACGTTACAATAAATGATTTAATTCGATAATAAATAATTTACATAATGGTTTTACATTATATCAGTTATTGTTATATAAGACAATTTGGGAGTATTTCTATAACCGCATCGAATTATAAGGCTACGGTTGTCAGGAAAAATACTCCCGAAAAATGTCATCTAGAATAGCAAAATCAGGTTATCAGAATTATGCATAGTAAATAACAATATTATTATTATTACATGGAATTAATATTAATGACGAGACATGGAACGAAAAACGCAGGCTTAGAGTCCAAAATAAACAGCTCTTTTTGTAATTTTTCAAAGTTCTTTGGTAATAATAAAACCGAACACATGAAACACAAAACACATTTCATGAAACCATATGGAATGAAGTGCACGAACAATAGAATGCATAAGCTGCCGTAATAAAAAATAAAATGCATCTCAAAAATAAGCGTAAACACTACGACGTAATTAATTGCAATTTTTTAACTTTTAAGTACGTACAATTTTAAATTCGCATGTCAACATGAATTAAGAGATTGTTCCAAACTTACATCTACAAGAAAAACAAAGCAATAACTGGATATGCGATAGAACAGAGAACTTGAGTCAATATAAATCTAAGGAAAACAAAACTCAACATAGTTTTCGTTGCAGGAATGTAAACAATGTGTAGAGCAATATTAAACAGGATATTTTATAATATTTAACAAGAACTAATAGTAACAACAATGCGTCGGAGGCCTGATTCTTTCTAGCACCACGGCTGTTGGCAGTTCAGTCCGAATCAACAGTAGGCTCACTCTCCCAGTCTCGGTAGTCATTAAGGTAATTTGCCAAGAATACATTAAATACAACCTTCATTATTATTATTATTATACAAATACATATAATATGTCTTTTTATTATCCCCTGTATTGTAGACGTTAACTTTAACCGAGACCAGGCAGTCAGTATTGTAACTGTCAACCCGACTGGACTTCCAACAAAGACACGACTATTTATCACAGCTATCCAAAGCCTTCACACATTACACGAATCGATCGCCTATCCCTCTACGTCACTTATCGTTTATCGATGCAGAAACTTGAGATTGCTGAACCCACTATTATCAGTATGAAATCCAGTAATTTAATGTTATTGTTTTGTGTAAATGTTTCCCTGCCTAGGGCTCGGGTTTCGAAACTTGTAAAAACACATTGACATAAAATAAGTATAGTTGTGAACAATTCCAACTTTTGTACTTTATTCTCACAACTTAACGAGATTTATTGTACACGAGATTATAAGGCCTATTAAAAATTGGTGTTTCAAAATTTGCTAATTACACGATACATCTAATAACATATTTGTTTAGGCCTAACGATATATTGTAAAAGATATAAAGTTAAATAGAAGGCTACACGCTTTAGAGCCGACTGGTGTTTCAACAAATGAGGCAGTTTGGCACTTAATATTGGTACCATAACAAATATAAGACACGGTGTATTATTGCTTCAAAATTACATTTCTCAGCTCGACATAGCAAGAGAAGATTTTGTACAGTTAGTGTTGCAAAATGAAAAGAAAAATATTTAACAAACTTTCGTAGAGCAAATTGCGTTATCTAATTATTTAATAATAAGCTCAGCAGTTCACTACACGTTAGTCTAGAATAAATTGATCTTGTGATTCAAGGAAGCCCATTCAGAGTCTTACATAATTAAGTAACATTCCAGAATTTAGTACAAGAACTAGGTATTTCACTTGAGCAATTATATTAATGAGACAATTCGCTAAAAACAAAAACACCTATGGCACGGTTTCTTCGTTAGTCTGCAACCCTTACGCGTTGTGAATGTCTTACTGTGTACTTAATCTACTTAAGGGTCCCCTGAATCATTTTGTATAATTTTCTATATTTCCATTAACATGATATATGTTTAACTAGATTCTTTAACAATACTTAAAAATTGGTAAGTCAATTCCTGTAAGGATCAATTCCCACATTTATATCTAAATGTATTAGTATGAGTGCAATCCCAGAGTAAATATGTTTACTTGTTGTAGCCGAGTCACTCATTACTGCTTGTTTTGAATCAAGATAGATCAAATCCCACTTATTACGGATCCAGTAACAGTTTCTCGTACGATACCTATACATATACAACAATAGTATACGATTTACAACATACTGAAAGATAAACATTATGTGCTGTTAAAAATAAAAACGTAACAAAATACATTATAATAAAAATGCTCTACTGGTTTAATAAATTGTACAAAAATATTGTTGAAAAATAACCAGTTCAATTTATGTCACATTAAAACTCATTGTATTGGACTACTTGGCGCTGAGAATGATCAACCATATTAATTCGTTTATATGTGCTGTTATTTAGCTCCAGAGACTTATTAACATCGCCGAGTCCTCAAAAACTACACAACATGTCAATCAAACGCAACCTAAGTCTGCTCCCGAGACTGCAATATAAGTATAAAAACATAATAATATCAACACGGTACTAATATTTACATGACCCAGTTCTAGTGAACCAAGAAAATATTAGCTTTCTTCTATACAGCACTTGTCTAACAAGCTGATGTCGTATAACATTACATTAGCTCGCAACCGATGCACACGTTAGCACCATTGCATCCTGCAGTGAGATTTCATCATGACAAATCAGCTTCTTCAAAAACAATATTAAGAAAAACTATCTGATGTAGGTAAAATTTTTGATAAGTACAAAATATTAATATTTTCAATATCTATCACAGCAATCATGCCGAAATCTTATAAAAATTTTGGACAAAAATACTTAAACTTATTTAAGACTAGTTAATTTACAAGTTTTATGAAATTTGGATAGAAAAATTGTGAAAGATTCAATAAAATTGTAAATATTGTCAAATGCCAGTGAACTATGCACAGTGTTACTCACTTCACTTCTTAACAATACTCGATTAATGAATTTCCTAGTAAGGTATCCAGAGTACTTAATTAAAAGTACCTCGATCGATAGTACGATAGCATGTTTCGATTAGTTTTCCCAAATAAACAGATTATATTCTAGGTACCATAGAATAAAATGTTCGAAAATAGTGTTAGTAAAAAACCAACGCACGGCGAATAAAGCAAGTCACGAACTATAACCATCAAAACCAAACACGCGAAATGAGAAATTTCAGTAATGAGCGCCAGTACTTCGTCAATTTGTAATGTTTATATAGCAAATACCGTAGAGGGCGTGCGTGCAATGCAGTGGCTGAATGCCTCACTGGCGCGGCAGCGACGCGTTGGCCGGCAACGTCGAGCTGCGCTGCGACGCGTTCATGTACGCTGACTTCAGGTTAGACCGCATCGAGTCTCTGTAACCAACCGCATCTTAGTTTTAGTTTGACTGTAAGTACAAACTACGATCTCCGATTCGTTTATTAAGCCGAGTAATAACAGTAAACCCTCTCATGTAGAACAGGCTTATAGTCCCGTTGAAAATCGTAGACATAGATGATGGTGCTAATGATACACAAGTAATCAAGTCCAGGGATGAGATGTGGTATTGCAATATCCGGAGTGGTGGAGTACCTGGGCGAGAGCTTGGTGTGGTCGTGGTTGGTGTGCGCGGCGCGGTACCCGTAGCGCTGCACGCGGCGCTGCAGGCGCGCCACCCAGCGGCGCTGCTCGGGCGCGCCCGGCGCCAGCAGCAGCAGCTCGCGCGCGCGGTCGGCGTGCAGCTTGCAGGCCGCCACGCCCGGCCCGCCC